CTTATTTTATTTACAGATCACACTCACATACTTAAAAATAGATGAGTTGCATGTTACATTAGTTAATATTTATGGAGCAGGTACTGTATACTAAGCCCTGTGCTGAGTTTTCACATGTCATTTCACATAAGTATCCAGCCCCTTCTGAGGTTTAGGTACTCTTACTTTTCCCACTTCATAGATGAGGAGGCTGAACATTTGCAGAGACACTAGATGGCCATGCTCCCTGGTTCAAGCCCTGACATTATCTCCAAAGCTCATTTGTTTGGTAAGCATTACACTAGGCCGCCTTCCAACTTGCAAACCCTCTAGAAGCCTCTCTCCAGTTAGACACAAACTCACTTTCAAAAATACCGGGTTGCTCATGCCTGACTAATGCAAGGGTAGAGCGGTTAGGAGACTATTAGGCGTATACTCCTGAAAGGCACAGGAAAACTAGGGCTTATGCATGCAGCTTAGTTAGACACTAATGGCCTTCCTTGCCTTTTTTCTTTCTTTTTTTAAATTTTTTAGCATTTTATTTATTTTAAATGTTTCAAGTTTTTATTTAAATTCTAGTTTACTGTAATATTAGTTTCAGGAGTAGAATTTGGTGATTCACCACTTATATATAACACCCAGTGCTCAACACAAGTGCTCTCCTTAATCCCCATCATCCATCTAGCCCATTCCCCACCTGCCCTCCAGCAACCCTCAGTTTGTTCTCTGTAGCTAAGAGTCTCTTGGGGTGCCTGGGTGGCTCAATGGTTAAGTGTTTGCCTTTGGCTCAGGTCATGATCCCAGGATTGGCTCAGGCCATGATCCCGTGGTCTTGGGATCAAGCCCCAAGTCGGTCTCCCTGCTCCTCGAGGAGTCTGCTTCTCCCTCTCCCCCCGCCCCTGCCCACCCCACCCCCTGCTTGTGCACTGTCTCTCAAATAAGATCTTAAAAAATAAAAGCCTTTTTTATATGCCTCCCTCTCTTTTTTCTTTCCCCTATTTTCCATCTATTTTGTTTTAAATTCTACATGTGAGTGAAATCCTATGGTATTTGTTTTTCTCTGGCTGACTTATTTCGCTTAGCATAATACACTCTAGCTCCATTCACCTCCACATCATTGCAAATGGCAAGATTTCATTCTTTTTTATGGCTGAGTAATATTCCATCACACACACACACACCCCCACCCACATCTTATTTATCCATTCGTCAATGGACATTTGGGCTCTTTCCATAATTTTGCTGTTGTTGATAATGCTGCTATAGACATTGGGGTACATGTGCCCCTTTGAATTGGTATTTTTGTATCCTTTGGGTAAATACCTAGTAGTGCAATTGCTGGGCCATAGGGTAGCTCTATTTTTAACTTCTTTTTATTTTATTTATTTTTTATTTTTTTTAAAGATTTTATTTATTTATTTGAGACAGAGAGAATGAGAGAGACAGAGAGCACATGAGAGGGAGGAGGGTCAGAGGGAGAAGCAGGCTCCCTGCCGAGCAGGGAGCCCGATGCGGGACTCGATCCAGGGACTCCAGGATCATGACCTGAGCCGAAGGCAGCCGCCTAACCAACTGAGCCACCCAGGCGCCCCTGGAAACAAAAACAACAACAACAAAACTCTTGTCTGTCTTGAAAGACAAGAAATATATGCTAAGCTATTTCCTTGAACACTAACACTAATATTATTGTACCTTAGGACAAAACTTCCATTTCCATCATTAATCTGTTGCTGATGATCTAAACTCACCATTCTTACTCCTTGAAAACTCCTGCCCTTGGCCCATCCTACATAGGTTGTTAAATTTACGGTTTTGTCATAAACTTAATAAGTTTTAACCATTAATTATACCATGGAATCTAGTTATGACAGGTCATGTATATCTTTCTGGTACCACTCAGTGACAGTCATGCTGTCTTAATGTCTTCTTTCTTAGTCTCTGTGATCCAGTTGCAACTCTAATAATGTATGTCCATTTATTTTCATGTTACACCTGCAAAACAGGGTAAAGGGAGTTAAGTTCTGTAGGATAAAGTTATAAAAGATGTGCTCCTTCAAAATGTTGTGTCTTTTCTTTTCCCTCAGCTGTCTTCATAAATGGTACTGAAAATTTTTTAGTAAAACTAAAATCTGTGTATTTTGACAATTTTTAAATTCTTTATCCATAGAAATATCCTGTACAAAAAAAGTTTGCTTATTTTAAGACCTCTAGGGACATAAATGAAATATGTGAGTCTATTTTTATTTTGTCTTTGAGTTATGGATAGGTTCATATAAACTTGTGAGTCTGCAATATAAATTCCTCCCTTCTAATTTCTGTACCGTATATTTTATTATGACCAAAATTTAAGAGCTCTAACTCCTAAACAGATACTGTCATTTGAGAAATTCATGACTAATTCAAGTCACGACTGCTTTTATCAGGTAATAGAAAAGACCAATAAATGACAGTGTTTGGGAATCTGGCCTAACGGGGAGCACAAGTTTGTATTCTAAACCTCATGAAAGCAATCTGTCTAAGCATGGGAAACAAGTTTTCAGCGTGGAAGTAGGAGGAAAATCAAATGCTGCCCTAAATTTGTGCATTCAGCAGTTAATTATTGATCACTTACTATGTTCTTACTGGTAAAGTAAGTCTATGAGAGGAAGGGAGCATGCCTTAATAGGGCTTTACTAAGTAAATTCATCTGAGAAATAAAAATGGCATATTCTACTGCTTTTGATACTTACATCATTATTTTGAAAAGTGAAGTGCTGCATTGTTTTAGGAGAATTTTTGGCCTTTTTCCTAATGACTTCTAAACTTGTTAATTTTATAAGGTAGCAAATAAAGTTTCCAAACACAGAGATACATAATTAATCAATAAGAAGAAAACTTTATATTCTACTCAAAATGACATTTAAATACTGCTCATCCAGCTGTACGATACGGTGCATTTCCTCCTCAGCCCTTTATTGCCAAGGGTCCTTCTCTTGATTGTTTCAAAAGTCCAAACTGCAGTTGAGGATCTGTCCCCACATCCACTCTGGCCCTTAGATTTAATCAGAATTGGCTTTAGTGACTGAATCAGTCTGGGTTTGGGTGGCAGGCTTTAACTCTTTCCTTGATGGATTAGGCCTGAAAAGCTCTGGAGGAAGGACCGCAGTACTGAGGGGAGAGGAGGTTGGTGGCTGCAGCTGTTCCTCAGTTGGTGTGGAGGCCATTTAATGGTTTGACTCCCCATCAGGTCAGCCAGGTGCCACCCTGTCTGCCCCGTTAGGAGGAGTTAACCTCAGTGAGAGGTGTTCCATCAAGTGCCTGCCATTGTGGACCTAACTGTGCTCTGTCCCTATGAGATGACACTTAGGGAAGGAGGTGGTCAGAGAGATCTAGGGGCTAGGCAGTTAACTGCCTTAGAAGCCCTCACCCAGACTTTGGCCTTTCCATGCCAACTCGGCAACTGTTACTTGGTTTTGAACAAAGTGACCTAAACAAACTTAGGTTTTGATAGGATCCTTTTGCTGGTATGTTGAGAAAGGGCTGTAGGGACACAGTGTGGAAGCAGAGTCCAGTTAGGAGGTTCTTTTTTTTTTTTTTTTTAATATTTTATTTATTTATTTGAGAGAGAGAATGAGAAAGAGAGAGCACATGAGAGGGGGGGAGTGTCAGAGGCAGAAGCAGGCTCCCTTGCCGAGCAGGGAGCCCGATGCGGGACTCGATCCAGGGACTCCAGGATCATGACCTGAGCCGAAGGCAGTCGCTTAACCAACTGAGCCACCCAGGCGCCCCCAGTTAGGAGGTTCTTGATGATAATCCAGACCATGTGGTAGCAGTCAAGCTGGATGAGCCAACGAGATGGACTTCCTGTGGAGTGTGAGAGGGAAAGGAGATGGGGAGAACTCCAGAGTCACTGGCCTGAACAGATGGAGGAATGACTTGCTCTTTCCTGAAACAGGAGAGACTGTGGGAACAGGATTATTTCTAATGGGAGAGGGGAAAGGAGGGATTATCAGGATCTCAGTTTTAGACAGGCCATGTTTGAAATCGCCTTAGATATTAAGTGGAGATCAGAAAGAGGTCTAGGACGGAGGGATAATTCTGGAATTAATTGGCATATGAATAATACATAAATCCAAGGGAATAGGGGAGATTACCAAGAGAGTGAACATAGATACTGAAGAGAGTGTATGCAAGGACTGAGCTGAAAAAGGACCCTAAAAGAAAATGGAGCATTGGGATCTGTGCAGAGTAGGAATGTGGTAATCTGGAAGTAAGAAAAAGAGAAGTTTAAGAGGGTGGTCTATTCTGTCGAATGCTGCAAACAGATCAAATAAATGAGTTCTAAGAATTAACCACTAGTTTAGTTGTGGTGGTCATTGACGACTTTGATAGGAATAGTTTTAATGGATCAAAAGTTGGGAAATATCTGGTTGAAAGTGTTCAAGTGGGGGATGAGAAATTGGAGACCAAAATCTACGAACAACTCTTTGAATCAGGTTAGATGATGTGGCAGTGTGCCAGGAGGCACCAGGCGGCCTGCTGAGGCAGGCCTGTCTCCGGGTCTGCTGACGGTCACATGCCAGGCGTGTGAGCATTAGCTGTGTATAGAGTCGGTGACCTCAAATGACCTTGCCGTGGGTAGACATAGAAATTTTTGAGATGTTTGTCATTAATACGTTAGTACTAAAAAAGAAAGATTAATCAAGCCAGCTGTTTTAACATACAGATATTCTTCTTTTTCACCTCGTACTTTACATCCATATTTTCTCCATATTTTTCTCTGACAGCTAGTTTTTAACTATTATGCTTACGAGGCCTCCACATGATAATTGGTTGTTTGTATGCCATTCTTCCGTCCTATTTTATTTTACTTTACATATCCATCTCCTGGCACATGGCAGATGCAGCATAAAGGTTTTTTGAATGAATGACTCTTATGTTTCATATTGGCATATGAAGCAGTTGATGTAAAGGTCAGCGTCTTCCTGAAGTTCGCTATTAATTTCTAAATGGAGATCGTGTCTGGTCATTTTGTTTCCCAGAGTCCCTGTGGAGCAAGCATAGTGAGAACTGGCTCACTGCAGCTCAGTAGTACATCTGTTGGTGATTCATCTTTGAAGAGGACAAAGCGAAAAGCACCTTCCCCACCCTCCAAAATACCCCTGCATCCAAGTGATGAAAGTAGTCCTGTCACTGGTAATGTTACTTTTCCTATTATGTGTGTATTAGGTCTTGTTTCATATAGACAGTAAAGTGATACAAGTTATAAATCAGGTCTTTTTACTAAAAGACAATACTTAAACTTAGGCTTTTAATGAATTTTAATCATATGAATTTAATCAATTTTATTATTTAATGAATTTTAATAATATTTAGATAGTCCCTGGTTATTCTCACTTTACCTTTTTAAAATCTGCAACATAACAAAAAAGAAAAGAAAAGAAAAATTTGTATAGCTCCCTGATCCTAAAATTGAGCATGTGATCATTTATGAATCTCTTCAGGACACTCTCATTCCAGGACTGACTACCTGTAGGAAGGGGAAGCTAAGTCGATTTTAGTTGTATCAAAGCTGGACGGTGAAGTGGCTTCTAACAAAGTTAGGGCTCTCTCTTCCCAAATTATATAAAAATAAACTAAGCTACTAAGGAATTGCTACATTTGTGAATGTGACTTGTTTGTAAGTTGTGCTGCTTCTGTCCCCCAGCCCCACAGGCAGGACGCACGGTTCCTTCGGATGGTGTTTTAGAAGCAAACCCTCCCAAGGGGCTGCCCAGCCCAGGTAGGACACCTTTTTTCCACATCATGTAGCTCCTGAAGAAGACCTTTCATGGCAGTTGAGGAATGAATCTAGTTATAATGCTCTGTCTGTGAAAGAGATACAGATGCTTTGACTCTATTTCCCAAATTTTATATTATGAAATGAAAAATTTTCCACCCTGGGTTGAGTATGAAATTGGCAGAACTCAAAATTTTAGTTCTGTGATGGTACCTTAAGAACTTTCCTTATGCATTGTCAGGTTACCACTTATTAATGTCCTCCCCAAGAGGGACACATATTAGTCAGGAATGTACCTTAGTGTGTTCAGAAGAAACTTACACCAAGGTGTAAGGTACCATTATTTACACAGCTGTCCTAGGTATGAATTTGACATACATAGTGTCCTAATTTAGTGATAAAAATTTATCATGAAGTATTTTCTATTATATGGTCTCATTTTGGATTCTCCAAATAAATGAAATGCCAATAAAAATAATTTAATACTGTTTCCCTATATTTTTAATAGTAGCTATTATAAGAATAAATATAAAATTTCTTAATTCTTAGACTTAATGTTAGGTATAAATGAATCTGACAGACTAATGTCTAACCAAAAATAGAATATTACTATGCCAGTACTTTAGCATGGAGATAATTTTATAGGTATGAAAATTCCTCAATATAACCCTACCTAATTTTTATAATTAATATTCATAAACATGGGAGAAACTCAGGACACCCAAATGTTCCTAAATCTTTAATCCTTAGGTGATTTTTAGGAATTTGAGATTTTGACACATCTTATATAAGAATTCTCCTGTCCTCTGTGATTAAAAACATTATCATTTTATACTGAGTCATGGTTTTTCTTATTTCTTAAGTCTTACTCAGAATAATATCAATGATACTGTTTTGTTCCACAAGGAATTTTATTTAAATAATATCAAACTATATAAGTGAAATGAGAAGATGCTGAAGTATTAGAAAGAAGGTGTGAATGCTATTCAAACTTTGCTTGATACCTGTTTCTCTCTTTCTTCCTCCCCCCCGCCCCAGTTACCTCTTCTTGTTTAATGCATGGATCATTGTGAGCTAACAGATCTGATTTCTTTGAAATGCTTCTTGTTCTCTTCTTGCCTTAACTCTGTTGTCTAAGTGCCATTTCCACAGATTTTACTTCTTTGGCAGAAGCCTCCCTTGACCCCGGGCTCCCCAGTCTCGAACACTCCACTGTGCCCAGACTACTGGATGAAGCTTCCCTCTCCGAGTGCTCTCGAACGGCCGAGACAGCCGTAGCATCTCTAACATGTAGGTGATGGGGCCTTTCCTGCCTGGTGCTTTGTTTAATGCAGATTAAGATTATCACCATGACAACATTTCATTACTTGGTCATGCCTTGTATAAAAAGGTCTCAAAGAAATAGTAGTTTCCCCCTTTCACTTGAAATTCTCTTACAGGTTTGGAGTTTGATGTTTTCCCTAACCAAATAGATGAATATTACAAGGCATAAGATGAAAAAATAAGTGGCCTTGGAGGATTTCAGCATTTTCTTCTATTTGGCTTTCTGCTTTTTTTGGCAAAACTCTTTGAACTCTATTATTTACAGTGTTTAACTTTATGAATATAAAAGAATATATATATATTTATATATATTTTTTTTCTTTCTTGGACTACTCTTTTGTTATCTAGGCATGGCTTATTTTCTATAGTATTGCTTTTGATTGGGATTTTTATGTTAAATTATTGGAATTATTTTGTTACCAGATGGCAAAAACGTATAGTTAGGTAATACTTGCATTTCATTATAAATAATTTTATTCAATTTTTTATTAACCCAGAATGAGTCCTTATTTAAAATTATTTAAAATTAATATATCACATACTGCTTATAGTAATGCAAAATTGTGTGGCCAATCTGGAAAATAGTTTGACAGGTTTTTAAAAATAAAATTTAAGCTTTCATTTTCTGTATAATCCAGCAATCCCACTCGTAGGTATTTTCCAAGAAAAATGAAAACCTCTGTGTACACAAAAACTTAACATGTACATTATTTTAGGATTTTCATTCATAATTGCCCCAAATGAGAAACAACCTAATGTCCCTAAACTGAGGAATGGATGAACTATGGTCAATCCATACATTGGAATGCCACCTACCCATACAAAGGAATGAATACTACATGCAGGGACGCGGCTGAATCTCAAATGCATTATGTTAAATGGGGAAGCCAGTCTTAAATGGCTAGATGCTGAATGATTTCATTCATATGACATTTTGCAAGGGTAAAACTATAGGGAAAATAGTTGCCAGGGTCTAGGGTTAGGGGGAGGGGATGATCACCAAAGGGTCCAGGGATTTTGGAGATGGATGGACTTGTTCTATATCTTAATTGTGGTGGTGGTCACCCAACTATATATCTACCAAAATGAAGCATTCCAACATGGATTCCAAAAATGAATTTTACTCAGTGTGAATTGTATCTCAATTTTTAAAAAAGAAAACTACACTGTCTGGCAGCAACTGCAATAGTATCTGACAGAGTGAGCAATTTTTGAATGAACGAATGAATACAAAAAACTAGTTCACCAGAATAGATGTAATTTTTTTAAAAAGATTTTATTTATTTATTTGAGAGTGAGAATGAGAGAGCATGTGCCTGAGCAGGGAGAGGGGCAGAGGGGTTGGAAAACAGAATCTCAAGCAGACTCCGTGCTAAGCACAGAGACTGAAGCGAGGCCCAGTCTCACGATCCTGAGATCATGACCTAAGCTGATCTAAGTCAATGACCTAAGTCATTGACGGGGAGCTCTACAACGAGGTGAAGGTGGAGGAGAGCTTGTAGCTCACTGAGGATGGCAAGGTGGTGACGGTGCATCTGGAGAAGATCAACAAGATGGAGTTGGGGAGCCGCTTGGTGTCCAGTGACCCTGAGATCAATACCAAGATTAACGCTGAGAACTCCAAGCTGTCAGACCTGGACAGTGACACTCGCAGCATGGTGGAAAAGATGATGTACGACCAGAGGCAGAAGTCCATGGGGCTGCCCACCTCGGACGAGCAGGAAAAGCAGGAGATTCTGAAGAAGTTCATGGATCAGCATCCCGAGATGGATTTTTCCAAGGCCAAATTCAACTGTGTTTGCCTCCCTGAACTCTTGGGGCTGAGCCCCCAGACATCCACCTTCTTTTCCTACCCTCCCCTGGGACTTGGGGGCCTCAGGGCTGGGGCAGGCACATGACTGGCTCAGGTACACTGGTCCCAGGGCATCATGGGAGAAGGGCTGGGGCCTTGGGGGGGGGGAGGTGTCTTTTTTTTTTTTTTTTTTTAAGATTTTATTTATTTATTTGAGACAGAGAGAATGAGAGACAGAGAGCATGAGAGGGAGGAGGGTCAGAGGGAGAAGCAGACTCCCTGCTGAGCAGGGAGCCCGATGTGGGACTCGATCCCGGGACTCCAGGATCATGACCTGAGCCGAAGGCAGTCGCTTAACCAACTGAGCCACCCAGGCGCCCCCGGGGGGGGGGGGTGTCTTATCTTCCCCAGTTGGCCTACTGGGGGTAGTACTGGCCAGTTATTCATTAAAACTATTTACTCCAAAAAAAAAAAAAAAAAGATGCTTAACTGACTGAGCCACCCAGGCGCTCCTATGTGAAATACTTTTTATGGGCAAGAGATAAACAGGGATAACAGTAATTTGCTAAGTGTTACCTCAGTTAATCTAATTTGTAAAGAGCTTAATATATGCCAAGGGGCCATTTATAAAACACATTTGCATCTAAACCAGAACAGACATTAATTTTCTCAAACAGTTTTCAAATTATATAAATATACCCTTACTGCACAAATATATGCTATTGTAGACACATAATATTGTACACTGGTATCATAATGATGCTTTCACACGTCATAATAAAACAAGACTTGCCAAAATACATTTTTTAAAAATTCACTTAAATTCAGATTCCTTAATATTTTTTCTGTTGAGTAATCTCCTTTTTTAATTCACAATGAAACTGTCATTAAAAGTCTCCATATTTGTTTATGAAATAGCATAAATTGCATACTTTTCTGCCTAGAGATAAAATTAAAGACATACATTACTTTAAATACTCTTCAAATATGTTGAAGTTTTTATTAAATTTTGTGGATGTGCTGATCACTATAATGCTATACCATCCCCCCCCCCCTTGTGGTAAAATTAAACTTTGTTCAGCTGCTATTGTGTAAATGGAAGTGTTAAATTATACTTAAATAAGCAAAGATTCAGAACCTCATTCTTTGGTTTAAATTAAACTTCACAGCTAGTGTGTAGACCAATTAGGATGTCTCCTCTTTTAAACTGTTGGCCATTTGTTGCTGGTACTAAAGGAATAACGATAGAACACACTCTTATACAATGAAATATTAACTGCAGCTTTTGAAGAGAATCACACATACACACATTGATATGGGATAATTTTTCAGACATAGTTAAGTGGAGAAACAGAAGGTGAAAAACATCAGTTATAATATGCTTCCATTTATATAAAATGAACCAACATAAAAGAAGGAAGCATGAGTATGCATATCTGCTTGTATGCTCATTATACTTTCCGATAATATATAGGAAAAACCTGTTAAAGGAAGTTGCCTCTGAGAATCAAGCTGAGTGGGAATAATTTTCATTGTATAATACTTGTTTGTATTTTCAAAAAGTATATTAAGCATCTGAGTCAGTGGCTTTTAATCCTGGTTTTATATAGAATCACCTTAGGAGCCTTAAGAATTCTTGGTCCCACCCTTCAGAGATTCTGATTTAACAGGTGTGGGGAGGGTATGAGCACTGGTATTTTTGAAAGGGGCTCAGTTCTGCATTGTAGTTCTCATAACTACCGAGTCAAATTTTGTAAGTATACTTGTATATATAAAATTTAAAATTATAAAATCTAATGTTCTTTTAAATAACATTTAGAGCTGTTATATGAATGTAAAATCATTTAAATTCAAAGATATATAAATATCGCTCAGAGATATGTAACTTGAAGATCATGAGTTTCAATAACTTTTTTCTCTATCATGAATAAAACCTAGCATGGTAGCGTATTATTTTTAAAATTGTGTATGTCTAATTTGACTATATGTTAACATGGTTATTCACCATTAGAAGAGTATTTTCTTACTAGTTTTGGACCAGCATTTAAAAGAGTCCAGCTAATTATTATTTTAAAAATTCCTTTCTTGCTAGGATTGCATGGGATGAATGAGGAGGCAAATTAATATTTAGGATTATATCTTCATTTCTTTGTAGCTGGAATAAGCTCTGATCATAGCCTTGAAGAGATAGATGAAAAGGAAGAACTGAGTGAAGTGCCTAAAGATGAGGCTGAAAATATTTCTCTGAAGTCACAAGATATTCCTTCTGGATCTACTGATATAATAAATACACTGAAAAATGATCCTGACTCAGCCCTTGGCAATGTTACTGGAGAGTCCTCACAAAACTCCAAAGAAGAAAAACAAGAAGCTAGAAACACAGATGGACAGTAAGTAGTCTATGTGCCTGAATTGTTGGTGATAGTTTGTTTAATGAATACTAGTCTCTGAATTATAGATCTGATATTGTAAACACAAATATAGTAGTCCCTTTAGTTTAGACTCTTCACCATCATTATAAGAATGCTTATTTATAAAGTATCCATTTGCATATTTTGTTTTTAAATAAAATCAAATTCAACAGTTCTGATACCCTGTGTGAGATAAACCATAGCATTTAGTTAATTTGTATGACTCAAATATAAAAGTATCTGTTTGTTTGTATTGTATGGGTTTTGCCTATTTTCTGTTTGATCTAAATGAAACATTTAATTTTTAATTTTCACCAAATGCTTCTCAAGAATTTTCACTGACATATAAAACAGTTCAGCACATTAGATTATGATGTTACTAATATTATTTTTACAGTCAACTTTATAATGCAGAGAGTGCACTTTCCACTTGATCCTAGGAACTGAAATCTATAGTACAGTACACTTATATTGTGTTAGAAATGCCACATCATGATTAAAGATGAAATCAAGTAGGCAAACTAAACCATCTTTATCAAAGTTTTACTATAATTTGTATGGGATTGTCTCCAAATTAAACCCTTCTATTACTTAAAAAAAAGCCAAAAACCAAAAACCGGTTGAGGTCAGTCCATATCCTGATTTGCCAGAAGTTGGCTTTGCCACATGCAAGACTTAAATGTTTCATTTAGTTTCCTTTTTCTTTAAAAGACAAATAATAATAACAAAAATACACTGTTTCTGTAAAAGTGTCCATTTTACTAAGCTTCTTAGATCCTTCTTTGTAATAGGACCGCTCTTTGAAAGCTAATGGTTCATAGCAGCATTTCTTCTCAGTTGTATTTTTTCTTTGCTATTAGATTTCCAGTATTTGGCAGAAAAAAGATGGTTTCAGTCCATCTGTCTTTGGAAATTATTGCCTCTTATGTGTGTGTGTGTGTAAATACTATCAATATATAACATACAATATCCTCTTTTGCAGAGGGCTACATATAATGGTATATAATACAAGCAGGGAAGAGAGGGTAGTTGACAGTGTAAGAAACTTGAAGTCATTGGGCCTAAACCAGGAGAATGGTGAGTTCCAAAAACACTAAAAGCCAACATTTTCATAATACTTGCTATATGCCAAAGGGCCATTCTTAAAACTTTATATATGTCAACTCATTTAATCTTGTATATTAACTCATTTACGGGTCTTATTATTTTTAGTTCCACTTTATAGTTAATTGAACCACAATGATACTATGTAATTGGCAAGAGTCCCCATAATCAGTAAGTAGGGAACCTTGGACTTGAACTCTGGCAATAATATTCTCACGTGTACTATTAACTACTATGTGTACTATTTTTCTTGTTAAATCTTAGAGGTTGTCTAACCTAGATCTTGGATCTTAAAGATGTATACTCTATGCATCTACTTGTGATCTATTTCTTTTTTTTTCTTTTTACTGACTCCCAAGTCCAAACCTGTTCTGCTTCATACTCAAGTTGCTTTACTTGGGTGAAACTTGTCAGCATGCGTTTTAATCTAATTATGTGATGTTTACATCTAATTATGTAATGTTATTTACCAGTATCTTCCACACCTCCACCCCCAAGTCAAGATAGTTTCTTCTCTTTGTTATATCTCACTCAGTTCTATCTTCAGGGCTATGCTCATTTTTTTTCTTTGCAAGGAATATAATTTTCCACCTAACTTCACCCATTCAACTACTATCCAAATCCTGCCACTTCACTTAATTTTGTTACTTGATTACTCGAAGCCATGTATTTCTCTAAAAGGTCTTGTCTCCTCAACCAGACTGGACAGTCTTTTGGGTCAGAGAAATTATATCCAATACTTTGAATTCCTCATAACACCTAGTAGAATACTGACCTATTGTTAAAACATGTAAGTCATCAGCTTAAGATTTTTTGACTTTATGATGGTGCGAAAGTGATATGCACTCCATAGAAACTGTACTTTGAGTTCTGAATTTCGGTATTTTCCTGGGCTAGCGATGTGCTGTATGATACTCTTGCATGATGCTGGGCAGCAGCAGCTGCGGCCCCCAGTCAGCCCCCCGAGGGTAAACAGGCCGTACACCTGCAACCATTCTGTTGTTCACTTTCGGTACAATATTTAATCAGTTACATGAGATAGTCAGCACTTTATTATAAAAAAGGCTCTGTGAGAGATGATTTTGCCCAACTGAGGCTAAATGTGTTTTGAGCACATTTAAAGTAGTGATGAGGCTAAGTTATGATATTCTTAGCTTAGATATAATGAATGCATTTGACTTAACGATATTTTCAAGTTATGATGAACTTATTGGGATGTAACCCCATCATAAGTTGAAGAAGATCTATACTTAAGGTTGAATTTCAGAAAAATGATACTACACAAATACAAGATACAAGGAATGTACAACGGTATTTTAAGGAGATACGGAAGAATTGGCTTATGAATTCTCAAAGTCCAGTCTGTTATATTAATATGCAAAACTAGGTGAAGATTCTTAGAAAACATAGGGATATACATATTCATATTTGGATAAAATGTGCATTATCCCAGTGTCACAAATCGATAGACAGATATAGATATGTTGTTTTACCTATGTAGTATGTGTTGGTTAATTCGAATAAGTCTCTGGTTCATTTTCCCCATGGTCAGGGCCATCCTGAGATAAAATACTGAGAAGTTCTAAAAGTATATAATTTCCTCGTCCTTTTCCTCTTGATTCAGTTCTTCACAACATATACTATGATAGCCAATAGAATTTTACTGCGAAATCATGCTGCTTCCTTCTTTTAAAAATGATAGTCAAAAATCATTTTTGCTAAGATTTTGGCATCAAGTTAGTGCTAGGGTCACAGGTATATTTCTGTAATTTTTTTTTGATTTACATTTGATTTGCAATGACCTTTGTCGACTCTAGGTGGGTCTTTTTTTCTGTTTTTTTAAATTAAAGTATTTAGGTGATTTTTAAAATAATTTCTATTATCTTAAAAGTAGTTTTATATACGTTTTTTCCTTCTTTTTTACCTACACTATATACTTGTTTCAATCATCGTTTTGTCAGATGATTCATTTTGTAGATGTTATTGTCAGTTTTGTGTAGGGAAAGGACAGGATAGCACAAAATCTACCTTTTCCTTCTACTGGCTATCACTGGAAAATGGCCTAACCATTCACTGACATTTGGTTAGTGTCATTATCAGGTATGTATGAGGATGAATTAGCTACAGAATTCAGCAGTGATTCTAGGTTTCCAGGCCTGTCATTGGGAATAATTGTGAGATTTTGATGAGAAATTCAGAATTAGAGAATAGCGAAAAATAGACATTTGGAGTTCTAAAACCAATTAGTTAGGGTTTATAGGGGAATGAATTTAAAATATGTTGATTTACTTTGTTTTGCAAAATATTTTTATTGTGTAACTGGGCTATCCCTGTCTTCACTGGAAAATGAAAGAAAGAAGCAAGAGAGAAGGAAATACATTTACGTTCATTTCCTGGTACCAGGGACCATTTCTTTTGTGCTCATACCAGTGTTGACAATAGCACTTTTCATATAGATATGAAAAATACTTCCCAACCAAGTAAATAAGACCATAGGCAGAAATGTGTCTTTTTGATGATTCTTAATCAAATGTGTCACAAAATTTAATAATTATGAGTCATTGAGAGGTCATTTGTATAGACAATAAATATTCTGATAATCAGTTGCATTTTTTAGGAAGAATAAAAATGAATTCCATTTAAAAATTAGATATGTAATACAAGAACCTTGCAACATAATAGAAAATATAACAACCATGACCAAAAAAAACATGCAATTCATCTTCAAAGATGAAGATATATATATATATATATATTTTTTTAAAGATTTTATTTATTTATTTGACAGAGAGAAACATAGAGAGAGAGGGAACACAAGCAGGGGGAGTGGGAGAGGGAGAAGCAGGCTTCCCGCAGAGCAGGGAGCCCGATGCGGGGCTCGATCCCAGGACCCTGGGATCATGACCTGAGCTGAAGGCTGACTCTTAACTGACTGAGCCACACAGGTGCCCCAAAGATGAAGATATTTTATAAAAAATTGTTTGTATACAAATTTACCTGGCAACAACATACTTTTCTCTTGCATGCATATTTTTCTTTTTTCTTTTTTAACAGAGGAACTATTTAAAAGAGCTCATGACATTTTGGGCAGTGAAGTTGTTTCTTTATCTTATAACAAAAGTGAGTGATGATACAACTCCAGAAAAACACTTGACATCCTTTCACGATTTGACTCCCAAGGCCCACATTTCACTTGCGCTGTGCAAACTACCGTATCTGGAAGAGGAGGCCACTAAGGATTTTGAAGATGAGGGCTAGTTGGTCATCCAGGAGAAAGAATTCTTCTGGGCATTTGACTAGAGGAACCCAGTAGATAAATCTCTTCCCTGAGGACTAGACACATGGCGCACACTCACAGACCTGCATTTCCTTCTACGTGCCTCATTCCAGTTCTTTGCCATCATGTTGCTGGCTGGCAACCATTGCTTGTTAACCTACACACTGGAAAGTGACTTTTGTTTTCAGGAAATCTGAATTAGAATTAAGAGGAAAAGTAATGCAGGGGAGAGAGAAGTGGTTTTCTCTACATGGACTCTGACATGAGAATAGGGTATCTTTTCCCTCAGAGAAAAATCAAAACCCACATGATTGTTTTTATGTAGTTGAAGTCACCCATACTGTGACTAAAAAACAAAGTCCTCTAAGAGTCTTTAGCAAGGATACCTAATTAACAAGACAATCAACGTAGATTTTGTTTTTACTTCAACTCTTAAAGGCAATATTTCCATTGTTTGCCTTAATTAAAGCTGGTAACATTTGCTGGGATTATTTCTCTTTTAATGAAAGGTGTTAAATATAAATACACTAGGGGTTATAGAAAAAGACCAGATCAAAATAGGAAAAAAAAATATATATATTTTTTTGGAATTTGTCAATTTCTTTTGTCATTTTAACATTGACCGAAATATGAAGTCTACCTATTAGGAGAAATGTAGCTATCTTCAAAAGAGTGCTTGTTCTGGGGCGTATCCTATCTGAATTAGCATGTTATATAAATGGCATATAAAATATAATACGTATTTTTCACCTTTATGCATCTGAGGAAACTGGGTTTGGCTGGTTAAGTAATGTGTAAGTCCAGCTGGGCCCTAGACTCAGGTTTCTATGATACCAAAGCCCATGCCGTTTTTTTTTTCATAATGCTACTATCTGCTTTCGTATAATTAGTGAGCTGAAAATTATCTGTAGAATTCAACCTATTTCAGTTTGGGGGAGGCAGGCATTGAAAACTTGAGGTTTTTCTACTTTGTTCACATTTAACTTGACAATATTTTTTTCCTCTCAGTAGATCAAAATGAAGTAATTGTCATTCCACCGAACACAGAAGATCATATGAAAAATGGAGTGAGGAGAAAAGAAATCAATGTAGGAGGTGTTGCCAAAAATAACAATGTGGACATGGAAGCTGACAGACTATCAAACTATCAGGCACATAAAACTGATACTGCTGAAAGTTACAAGGAAAATCATCTAGCTGCTTCATTAGTACAAGACCAAAAACTGAATCAACCCAGTGAGGAAAAGACCAAAATGCAAGACACAGCCATTCAGACAGTCCCCTCCACTGAGAGCTTTGATGGGAATCACCGAGATCATAATTTGTCTAACTTCAAAGTTAACGAAAGTGTGCAAACTCCAAGTAATAATAAATCAACTCAACACTCACCTTCAAGTCCCCAAGATTCTGTAGATGCCTCAAGGAAATTCAGGAGTCAGGGCCCTGTAAAGGTACATTCAGAAAATCAACTCACCATAAAAGATCCAATTTGTACACATGGTAATGACCGTCTTTTGCCTCCTGTAGATGGGAATGATAAAAATTCAGCTTTTTCTCATGTAAAGAATTATCCACTTTATAGACAAGACTATGATCCCAAGCCAAAACCTTCAAATGAAATCACAAGAGAGTACATACCCAAAACTGGAATGACTACTTACAAAATTGTGCCTCCCAAATCCCTGGAGATACTGAAAAATTGGGACTCAGAAACCACTGGCTATAACGATGACCAGGAGATGCATACTTTAGGAAGAAAGCCCACTGATGAGAGTGTGAAAGAAACTGCAGTCCAAACAGAAGATCTTGTGGTCTCTGAAAGTCCAAGGGAGCCACAGGCAGACGTTCAACTGAGGCTTACCCCGAGAACAGAGCATCAGGTGCTCCGCCTGGAGAGCTCGCCCTGCATCGCCGTGGGGAAGCCTCTGAAACCTGCTCCCAGAGTGACGAAAGACCCTGGCACAGCTCCTTTTGCGCCGAATTTGGAAGATATCAACAATATTTTGGAGTCAAAGCTTAAATCTCGGGTTTCAAATGCCCAGACCAAACCAAGTTCTTTTTTCCTGCAGATGCAAAAAAGAGTTTCGGGTCACTATGTGACATCTGCAGCGGCCAGGAGTGTCCACGGGGCCCCTAACCCCGCTCCAAAAGAACTGGTAAAGAAAGAGGAGGAAAAGGACGCGCGAGCCCCTCCGGGGCAAACTCTTGGTCCCGTCGGTGGAACAGCTCCGCCTCTTCCACAGCCGCCTATCGATCAACACACCGCCGAGGAGCGCGGCGGCCCGGAGGCGGCCGACACGTCTCCTCCGCCCCGAGCTCCGGGCCCCGCTCCTCTTCCTGCGAGTCGGTTAGCAGCACTAAACTTGAAGACTCTGAAAACTTTTGGGGCCCCGAGACCTTACGCGAGCTCCGCGCCATCCCCCTTCGCCCTGGCCGTAGTGAAACGCTCCCAGTCTCTCAGCAAAGTGCGCCCGGAGCTGGGCGGCGAGCGTGCGTTCGCGCCGCCTCCACCTGACTCAGAGGGAGGGAAGGCTCCGTCTGTACATCCATCTGTGGGCCTCGCACAGCTCTGTGTGCGTGATGAGGTAACGTTACCTTCTTGAAAATAAGGGGTTCTGAAACAGCGTGGTTTAAGGCATGTTGGTATGTTTGTGAATCAGCTCTGAATTCGTATTAAGCTATAGCACGCTACCATAGGGAGAAGAGAGTAGTGATACATAAAGTCTGATTATTTACTCTCAGAGTTACTATAACTCATGTAACATGATTGGCTAGTACTATAAAGGTCATCATTCTAGAATGGTATCATCAGCAAATACTATAATTTAAAATTTCTTTGCTCATACCGTTGCATAGTGTATCAGCTTATAGTTCTGACTCTCTATTTTCCTGTTTTGCTTATCTCAGTTTGTTTACAACTTTTCTGGATGCTCTGGTTTCTTTTCTTCTCCAGTTCTACATAATAGCAAAATAAATAGTTTTAATTGTATAGAAACATAAGCGGTTGTTTAAAGACTAGATAAAATAACCAAACATTTCTCAGCTAGGCATTTTCGATCACATACACTCAACCTCAGTTACCAGACATTGATACATATAAATAATTTAAACTGAAACCAGAGTTTAAATATGTAATTTTCTTCATTTCCCATTTTTGTTAATTCAGTGTTAACTTTTCCAGTTACTGGTATGTTGACTAAAATATCATTTAACCCCTGTCTAACCTTAATAACTTACATAAAAAGGGACATTTGTTGACTTCGTGTTTGGTCAACTGAGTGTTATAATTTGCTAGATTCAAATAGTATAGTCAGAGGAAAGGATAACATTTACAGTATGAATTACAGTAATCCCCTTGCAGTTTTTAAAAAAATGTTTTGTGTACCTTTACTTTGATAGTGTTTAAAGAATACTTTCAGATTTGTGTGACAGTTCCAGAAGTATTTTATAGTACTTTTTCAAACATTCCTAGAGTAAATGAACGTTAACCACACTGCTAAGTAAAGATTTTTCCGTAATCTCAAAGCAATATTCATCTCGAAGGGTATTTCTTCATATATTTCACATTTATGTTTCTTAGCTTTGATATAATGTCAGGAAGAGATGTAGGATATAGAAATTAATTCTTGGGAACAAAGTCTGTGTTTCTTCTTAGGATGGAATGCCATTCCTAAACAACAGAAGTTTGATTTAGATAGTACAGTTTTTGAGTCATTGCCCGAACTCTGTTTAGCTCATCTTTTGTAAAGATGTTTGGCAGTTTAAAAAAGACATTTTTAAGATTATTTGATTAATAGTTTCCAGTTAAATCAGTTACTAAATAGTCTTTCCTAAGAAGTTTAATTAAATTTTTGATTCTTAAATTTGGAAATTCCTTATATGTATTTTTAGTCCATGGGAAAAATAAAACACGGTCATCATTTAGCCCCGTGGCTTCCCGAAACACAAAATAAACTGTTACATGTAGCATAGTCATTAATATTTCTTTATTGGAAGATATGTTAGATTCAACCAATATAAAATTGTCAATTTGTCCATTTTGTACTGTCAAAAGTGATAATTTCACCACCTAATATGTTGTAACTATAAAAATGTGTTATTTTGTAGTCTGTGGAATTTTTGTTATTATTAATTTAGCTCTGCTAGCCAAGTCTTACTGGCAAAATCATAATCATTTGACTCAAGGACAGTAAAATTACCACTGTATTCATAAAGCAAAGAGAGGTACCACTTTTACTCCTTAGCCTCATAAGTTCAAGAGAAGGGAAAGTAATACCCTCATCTTCCAACTGAGCTCTGGCAGCAGAAATAATCCAGTGGGTAAGGCAACTGAGCTATGTCTAAAACACCAGGGTGGCGAATAATGATTCTTAAAGAATACTGATGATGAAATTTTTTTTAAATGGCTCATTCTTCACTTGGTATTCATATAAATATCTTGCATTTATTTTTATAGGGAAATAACTCTGCACATAATGAACAGAATTCCCAAATACCATCTCCAACTGACTGCCCATCACTCATTCTTAAGAGACAAAGTTCTTTAACATTCCAAAGCTCTGACCCAGAACAGATCCGACAGAGTTTGCTGACTGCAATCCGTTCTGGAGAGGCTGCTGCCAAATTGAAAAGGGTAAGTTTTCTTTATCAGATGGGTGACAGTGGGTCTATTTTCAACATTGTCAAACTAATACTTAGGGGAAATTGTTTTTCTGGCTTTGGAGTCTGAATAGGGAGGATGCCAGAAGTTACTCTTTGATGTCAAGGGTCATTTTTGAAGTATAAGCTGAAAGAGTCCAGAGTCTTACGCATACTTAAAAATATGTCCGGTCTATTTTCCACACCACGGTCCAGGTGCAGAACATGGGTTTTGCTCATTATTATATGACTATACACAGAAAGTACCCTGGACTCTTATTTTATAAATTATTTCAGCACAGTAAAAAAAAATTCTTTCAGGAAGAAAATCCCTCCTTATTCCAGAAAAGCGGCACTAGCTATAGGAACCTGCAAGGTTTCAGTCATAGCTTCCACAATGATCAAAGTTAACTACCATATGCGGGGGGATTAGTGGGGGGGGGGCGTTGTTTTATAGGTTAAACAAAAAATGTAGGGAAAATCTAAGGAATTTAGATGACATCGAATACAGAAATTCTAGTCTACTAATGCCCTGCCTGAGTGGCTAGCTCCTCCTTACTGAGATGTAGGAGAACTTCAGGAGAGGAGCTATACTTCTTTTTGGAGCAAATGCCAAAGAAATGTCACAGGGGATTATTTGTAGGTGAGTTTCCTCCCTGTGTTGCTTTCATCCACTCAAAGACGACATACGTAGTGAAGCCTGGAGCCTGGCATCCTAACTTGGACTTCCCAGAAGCTGTCCTTCGTCTTCCTAAATGTCTTTCTTGTTCTCCGCTTAGTTGTCTTGGTTGCAAGTTCCTCAACACCCAAGACAAGAAAAGTACTCATTATTCCCCCGACTCCCTAGGCATTTCGTTTTGTGAATTCCTTCTCTAATCATTTTAGAAGCTATTTAGAGAAGAGTAAGAGACTTGTTGAACAAAACACTGAGCTCAACAGAAATGAAATCTGCAAAGAGACAGGAATGCTGCAGAGAGACAGAATGGGGAGGGCATCTCGGGCACATCTCCACGGCCGGCCCTGCGGGCCCGCACTAGCCCGCACTAGCCCGCACTAGCCCGCACTAGCCACTTTCCTCCCAGAGCCACGAGTGACTGCCGTTTTCACGGAGGGCTGGGCGCTCCCAATTGGGCAAACAGGGAGACAAGGCAAAATATTGCCTGCTGTCGGGAGTGGAGGAAATGTGAAGGGGTAATTTAGGGGCTTAGGTTTGAATTTTGTCAGGTATTTGTAGAGTCTGAATTTAGGTGCCACGTGGCAAAAAAAAAAAAAAAGTGTAGTTTTGAATATTAAAACTGGTATTTCACAGGTCATGACATTTATATTTTTATGGGGAAATATGCCCATACAAATAAATTGTACATTCTTGGGCGCCTGGGTGGCTCAGTCGTTAAGCATCTGCCTTCGGCTCAGGTCATGATCCCAGGGTCCTGGGATCGAGTCCCACATTGGGCTCCCTGCTCGGCAGGAAGCCTGCTTCTCCCTCTCCCACTCCCCCTGCTTGTGTTCCTGCTCTCGCTATCTCTCTCTCTGTCAAATAAATAAATAAAATCTTTAAAAAAAAAATAAATTGTACATTCTCACTTAATGAAAATATTTCTCTATTTCTCTTTCTAACCTTGTAAATTAAGGTTGAGTTTCTGATCTAAAGCTTTCTCAGTTCAGTGAACTTGATACGCATTTTTTAAGCACAATAGTACAAACACTGTACTAGATACTGGGGAGAGGAAAGTGAATAAAATGAAGCCTCTGCCTTGTGGGTGTTGGCAGCCTGGGACTGAGAAACAGTGGCCCATTAGGTCCACGGGAGAACCCAGTAACTACACGGAACATAGCTGCAGTGCCTTTGTACTCAAGTCAGTGGATACAGTAACCCGTTTCAATGGACAAGGTCGCAGAAAACAGTGCATTAAGTTGGGAATTTCTTTTAGGCCAGCAGAACTGCACAGGCAAGCAGCTGTGTGCTTGGTGTGATGGGCTCTGAATTGGCAGTCTCTTCACTTATAAAACTCTCATTGCTTCCAGAATGAGCTGGATGTGAATCAGCATAGAAAGCAGGCCCTAAATGATGATCCTATAATTGTATCCTGTTTATAACTCATTACTTTAGGTTCTCTCAAGGCTAAATGTTATCTCTTTCAGTAGGAGATTATCAACTGAGTCTTCACAGTGTCAGTTCCTAAATTTTGTTTAATGAAAATTCCTTACATAATCCATTTTATTCCACTAAAAATGGACACAGGGTCTAGTAAAGTTAATAATATCCACACTCCATGATCAGTATTTTCACTTCTAATTATATACCCTAAAAAGGTGTGTGTTATGTACTGGGACTCACATGTAAGAATATTCATGAGATATTGTTTGTAATAGCTCCAAATAAATATAAGCTTAATATCCCAAAAGAGGATAAATAGTATATTCAAAGAATGGACTAGGAAATAGCAATAAATTGGGCAAAATGCAGCTAAACACAACAGTGTGTAAAGGCCTATAAAAATATATGTGTAAAGTGTGACAACATGCGTAGGTGGCAATTATTTTTAAAAGCGAGGAAGTAATTATACAGTTCATGATAGGGTTACTTCCACAGGGAAAGAAAAGGGGTTACTGCGGGCTTGTGGGAGCAAGACAGGCACATAATTTAAGAGGGAACCAAAAATCTAAGTAGTCAAGATAAATATTAATGCAGTATTTTTTAAATGTCTAAATGATAGACATTTAGTGATAGAGAAAATGTCAACATTTTAAAGACAAGCTCAGTAGGGAGCTGGAGCTATTCTTTTCTTGGCCTGGGTGGTGGATTATACATATGTTTGTGTTTGTTTTCATTGGGCTGTGTATTTAAGTTCAGGGCACTTTACATATATTATATTTAAAAACAATTATATTGCAAAAGGAAGTAGAAATGGACACAAGAAGCTCTAATTCCTTGCAGTCTTTGCTTAAGTCCCATATTTCTGTCCTGTACTGAACATTTCTCCTGGTTTGTTTTAAATTCTAACATTTCTTTTATAGAACAACAGCAAGAGTGCCAAATAAAATCTTCAGTGATTTTGACAGTAGGTTTAGATTGTTCATCAGAAAGTTGGCTCCAGGTTTGCCTATATTTTGGCACCCAAATGTTCAATTTAACTCCAGGTACCAACCTGCCTTATGGCTCTGGTTCATACCTGAGTAATTAACCTTCATTATAATAATTGGTTCACATTAGAACAATTATTCGGTTGACTGCTCTAGCATAAATGTAGTCATGAACATGCCATGTTTTTTCATATTTCTTAAGACTTTTTCCACACCTTACCCTTATTTTACCCCAGTGTAGTCACAGAGATCTGTCTTGTCTTCTTACAAAGTTTTAATAAATCCAGTTCAGTATTTGATAATATGTGTTTAGTGTTAAGATTTATATGTGAATCAGAAAATTGTTTTCAGAGAGTAAGAGATTAAGTAACCTATTATCACTGACTTGTGTTGAGACAAGAACTTCTTTGGCTGCTCTTGGTTCTTGTTGATGCTTCAGTTACTAAAGGTCATTACACTATTACAAGTAGAATATAGATTTGTAAAAATAAAGTGGTTGATATTAACCATTTCCTCAGAATGTAAAATTTATCTTTGGCTACATGGAAATCTGGAAGGAAGAAAAAACTGGGTAAGTCACCCAGAATCTTGCAGGCTTGTTTTATTTGTTTAATTGGTCGGCTTTTTATTCATATTTCCTTGTTTGGAATTTGAACAACCTAAAGGCTTTAGGTTGGCACTTCTTTCTTTATATTTTTAAATTAAAAATTAATGATAGTTTCATAGTTAATGCTCCTCACAAGAATAAGAAAGCTACATGAATATTCCCAAAAATTCTTTAAAGGATAGACAGTCTGGGGCGCCTGAGTGGCTCAGTTGGTTAAGCGACTGCCTTCGGCTCAGGTCATGATCCTGGAGTCCCGGGATCGAGTCTCGCATTGGGCTCCCTGCTCAGCGGGGAGTCTGCTTCTCCCTCTGACCCTCCTCCCTCTCATGCTCTCTTTCATTCTCTCTCTCTCAAATAAATAAATAAAATCTTTAAAAAAAAAAAAAGAAGGATAGACAGTCAACTAGCAGATGCTCTTATCAGTAAATTCTTTAATGTTGCTTTAAAAAATATTTTTATTGTAAGTGTCATGTTCATTATTCAAAAAACTCAAGCAGTACTTTTTTACTTTATAAATGTTTATAAAAAGTTACCATATTCCATTCAAGAAATATTCATTGATCTACACTGTGCCAGGTACTAAAATAAACATGCGTATAATGTGGTATTAAAATAGACAAGGTTTCTGACCTCACATTACTTATGGACTAGTCTATAATGATGTCTTCTCATGCTCAAAAGTTTAGTATACAAATTTTTTAAATATCAAACAAAATGCCATCCCCACCAAAGTAACTGCTCGTGATAGATTACTGTGAAACCTTCCAGAACACTTTTGTAGTATATAAACATATTTAAATACATACAAAAATAGAATCCTGTAAAACATTCAGAAATATCTCTTTGAAGTTTTCCATCTTATTACACACACACACAAACACACACATAATTCTTTTAAGACTACATAGTATTTGACTCTCTGAATGAATCATGGTTTATTCCTTATTGATGGACATTTAACTGGATTCTAGTTTTTCCATTCTATAAATGGTGCTACAGTAAACATCAACAATAGACATATATTAGAGTCATCAGTGTGTTTTTTAAATGCTTAAAACAAAATTTCTTTCTTTTTTTTTTTTAATTTCAGGAGGATAGTGTCAACACTCTACTCCATTCTGGATTCATAGACAGTCAAGAAAGCTGTTAGTTTAGATGATCAATCTTCATTTAATAAAAGGCAACAAATGAAGCACAAGGAAATCAAATCTAAACTAAATTCGCCCATTTTATTTTCCTTTTCACTAACTTACTCTGTTGCTAGGCAGACTCTGTGGCCTTTTGTACTTTAGTTTTCTTGTGTGAGAAGATGATAATTGGTTACAAATCTAAACTAGCCAAATTGAAATCTAGAGATTAACCATTTTTCTTAAAATATTTGTCATGTTTATGGTTAATATTTCAAAATATTATACCTATTTACTATCCAGAATGTATATGACTTTTAAAAAATGTTCTAAATAATTTGGAATTTCAAGCTAATATTTAGGAAATTTTTAGTGTATTTCATTCATTTACCATTTATAAATACGAGACTTTGCCATAGAATTTTGGAATTTAGGAGTTTATTGGGAGAAAAAAACTACTTTCATTCTGCAGTTGTTTTTGCATAACAGTCATAGGTTTGACTTTTTTAGCCCTTTGTATGAAAGCATTTTATTTTATTTTAAAGACTGTATTTATTTGCGAGCGAGAGAACACGAGCAGGGGGAGGGAGAGAGAGAGAAACATATGCCCCACCGAGCAGGGACCCATACACAGGGCTGGATCCCAGGACTCCGGGATCATGACCTGAGCCGAAGGCAGATGCTTAACCAACTGAGCCACGCAGGCATCCCTATATGAAAGCATTTTAAAAACCAAAGCTGTATTTTCTTATAAATAAGGGGTACCTGGGAGGGGAACTTCAAGTTAATATATGTCATCAATACAATTTTAGAATTTGTAAAAATTCTTTGCTTTGTGGAATTCACTTTATTTTTCTATATTCTCCAAGGCAGTTTTGGGGAGCCAGAATTAATTTAGCAAAAAATGCTCTTCAACAGCTTGGCCTGCAGTCTGTTTGTGCTCTTGTCCTTTGAGTTGATTTGGTAATTTTGTAAAGACTAAGATGTGTTAATGGATTATTTAACTTGTTTGTTGTGGAAATAACAACTCTCTCATTTTTAATTTTATGGTAGAGTGAACATTTCTTCTTGATTATTTGTGATTTATTGAATACTAAATGCTAAATATTCTCATTTACAATTAAGAGGAAGTTAAAATGTGGTAATTTTTGAAAATTAGATAGCTTTCCCATTTTAAATTGATGGGTGCAAAATGTGTTTCTTTCTCTTAGGTTACTGTTCCATCAAATACAATATCTGTGAATGGAAGGTCAAGACTCAGCCATTCCATGTCCCCTGATGCCCAGGACAGCCATTAAATGTCGCCTGTGATAATGCACTTCACTTCTACTTCACAGAACACCTTCATCCTAATGGAGAATGTTGGCAAATGTATATTCAGATGTACACTAATATATTGTCTATTAAAGTGTAAGAATTTGTGCTGTGGCTTTTAATGCCAAAAGAAGAATTACAGAATTTATAAGTTATGATATTTTTGGCCCCTCCTTTTTTTTTTTTTTGCCTTAAAAGCTCAATATGCTGCTGTAGAACTTTAAGACAAGGTGTTAATGACTTTCATTTTCTTTCAAATGAGAAATAGTCACCTTTTGTTGATTTCACTTGCACATTCTCTACAGTGGTGACTTAGACAAAAGGAAAAATTGAGATTCATAGACTTATATTTGTGTGACACCTATATAGGTAAGCAAACATAGATCTGACATTTGCTGCCTTAATGTTACAGTTTAATTGGAAATGTTTGTAAGTTATATTAAGGTCTGTTTTGGCTGAAAGTACAATATAGAGAACTAATACCAAGTATATTTGGTTCAGCAGTTAAAATGATGAATCACTTAGTGTGCAAGTCTTGTATGTTGTTCATGTAATTACAAAATCAGTGTCAAATTTATGGGAAGCTCATAGTATTTTAATATTTTATTAACATGGAACATTTGTTTTTTTAATCTTTAGAACTTAAATTGCACAAAGAACATTTTAAATATTTTTTGTATAGAATCATGACATTGTTGTCACACAGATATTACACATTTATGTGCCAGAAGCCTTACAAATCACCTTATGACAATGTTGATCTATTGTGACAATTATTTCACTTTTGATGTGTAGCAAGGAATAGGGGTTAGTCTGTGTTCATACTGGAAAACTTCAAAGGCTACTTGGAGGTTCCAGAAATCCTGGTTTTAATTAAAGTAAAATGATAAAGTCTTTATGTAGTTCAGATGCTAATATTCTAAATAATAATATATATTTACATTAAAGCTAAAACTGTCAAGCAAAACAATGCCTAATTTGTTGGCTTATAACCGTACTGGGGTCTAGAGCTCATTCATGGTCTAGTCCTAATTTAAGAATCTAATAGCTCATTTATTCTAAAAGCTTGGTCAAACAAGTGAATGTTACGTTGATTTTCACTAAAGCTCTTGGGATGTCTGCCTCTTTGGAAAATGTGTTGATTTTTTTTCCCCCTGTCTAATAAAAGCAAGTTATATATTTGGTTTGTGTCAATCAGCATATTTATGAATTTCACCTGTCGACCTATTTCTATCAGCCAGTAAACAAAAAAGTCATAGTAAGGCCTACCATCCATCAGTGTACATGTAAGCCCATTCAGATTCCAAAGTGCATGATCTAAGCATATAAAATGCTTAGCATAGTCCCTGGTATATGGCAGATGCACATTAAATGTTAAATGTTGCTGTTACTTCCTTAAATCAGACTTGAAGAGACCCTCATATATGGAAACTTAAGTTCTTTTTTTTTTTTTTTTAAAGATTTTATTTATTTATTTGAGAGAGAGAGAATGAGAGACAGCATGAGAGGGAAGAGGGCAGAGGGAGAAGCAGACCCCCTGCTGAGCAGGGAGCCCGATGCGGGACTCAATCCCGGGACTCCAGGATCATGACCTGAGCCGAAGGCAGTCGCTTAACCAACTGAGCCACCCAGGCGCCCCTGGAAACTTAAGTTCTATTATTGTAAACCGTTAGCCAAAGGGGTGACTTTTTGTAAAATTATAATTAATTATCCACTTGGAAAAAAATAAATTTGGATCCCTACTTCAAACCATAAACAAATATATTTGAGTTGGATTAAAGACAACTTTTATTTTTTTATTAAGGATTGATTTATTTGAGCAAGAGAGTTGGAGGGAGGGGGGCAGTGATGGGGTGGAGAGAATCTCAAGCAGACTCTGTGCTGAGAAAGAGCCTAACTCAGGGCTCAGTCTGACAACCCTGAGGTCATGACCTGAGCTGAAACCAAGAGTTGGACACTTAACCAACTATGCCACCCAGGTGCCCCTAAAGACAACTTTTAAAAGAATATTTTAAAACTTAGATGAATATATTCAACATTTTTCAGACCTCAGCATGCGAAAAATTAAATAGGACACAAAGGGACATTCATAAAAGTATAAATTTATATTAAAATTAAGACTTATATGTACATTAAGTCCTATAGAGTGAAAAAAGCCACAAGAATGTTTTTAATATAATGTATAAAAAAATTCCTAAAAGTCATGAAACACTACCCAATAGAAATATGCACACTGAAAAAGATTTCTTACAAGAGTAAATCTGAAAGGCCAAGAAATAAGGAAAGAATACTGTTCACTAATCAAGGAAATACTGGTTAAGACACAAGGAAGTACTACATCACACCCATCAAATTAGCAACAATGTCGGTTTCAAAATAGCAAGTGTTGTCAAGGACAACAAAGCAGTGGAACTCTTTCACTGTTGGTGGGAAAACATACTGGCACAACTATCAAATTTGCAATATTTAATAAAGATGTATTACCATGTTACTTTAAGCAAGTACTTCTGCATATGCATAAGGAGACCTTAACAATGGGGCTCCTGGTGACTCAATGTGTGCATGCGACTCGATCTCGGGGTTGTGTTAAGCCCCGCGCTGGCTGCAGAGATTAAAATACCTTAAAAAAAAAAAAGGTATGGCAGCCTTGTGTACAACAGCAGAAAGGAGTCCTAACCAGCACTCAACATTAGTACATTCATATGATAGACTTCTGTACAACAATCAAAATGAACAAACCAGGGTTATGCATGTCAACATGGATGCAGCTCAAAAATGAGCAAAAAAAGCAAGTTGTGGAACACTGCATGGCTTACGACAACAATTACATAAAATATGCAAAACAATACCATATATTGTGGCTGTATCCATAGGAAAAAAATACACAGGTTTGCTAGTGGGTACCAAGAAATGAAGACTGGACTGGGGAGATTGACAGGTGTCATCAATTGTGTTTGTAGTAGTTTATAAACTGGTTTGAAAACAAGTGCATTTAACCCTTGAATAACATGGGGATTAGGCGTGCCAATCCCCTGCACAGTCGAAAATCCACATACTAACTTTTGACTCCCTCAAATCTTAATAGCCTTCCGCTGCCTGGAAGCCTTACTGATAACATCAACGTATTTTGTATGTTAAATTATTATGTACTGCGATTTTACAATAAAGCCAAAAAGAAAATGTTAAGAAAATCATAAGGAAGAGAATACATTTACACTACTATACCGATAAATATCCACATACAGGTGGGCCGAAGCAGTTCAAACCCATTTGTTCAAGGGTCAAGTGTACTTGTATTACTCCAGATTTTAGCATACTTGAAGTTGTTTATAATTCAAATTTTTTTTTTAAGATTTTATTTATTTATTTGAGAGAGAGAATGAGATAGAGCATGAGAGGGGGGAGGATCAGAGGGAGAAGCAGACTCCCTGCTGAGCAGGGAGCCAGATGCGGGACTCGATCCCGGGACTCCAGGATCGTGACCTGAGCCGAAGGCAGTCGCTTAACCACCTGAGCCACCCAGGCGCCCTATAATTCAAATATTTTTTAAAGATCACGTAGTAGTACTTAAGGGGATATGTACATGATCCATTAATACACATACATTCTGAAAAGATTGCCTTATCCACACTGTTTCAGGAGAAAAACATGTGCTAACCTCTCTAATCAATTGGGAAAGAAATTTGAGACAAGTAGTTTTCACCAGCCATGTCCTTAAGTAATAGCAGAATTAAGATACAGAAAAGACTTAGAACCAATTTTCAGTTTTCATATTTAATTTTTTGCATATAGGCATTTTTCTTTTCCTTCCCCCATCAAGTTATTTCTTTATATTACATATTTTTAAGTTATCCAGATTCCATATAAATTATAGGGTATGAAATGAAATACTCTTCTGTCTCCAGCATCCCACTCCCCTCTCCAGAGATAACCACTGTTACTGTTTTTGGGTTTTTTTTTTTAAGATTTTATTTTTTAAGATTTTTATTAAGATTTTATTTTAGAGGGGCGCCTGGGTGGCTCAGTCGTTAAGCGTCTGCCTTCAGCTCGGGTCATGATCCCAGGGTCCTGGGATCGAGCCCCGCATCGGGCTCCCTGCTCCGCGGGAAGCCTGCTTCTCCCTCTCCCACTCCCGCTGCTTGTGTTCCCTCTCTCGCTGTATCTCTCTCTGTCAAATAAATAAAATCTTTGAAAAAAAAAAAAAGATTTTATTTTAGAGAGCGCATGTGTGCGAGCATGCGGGTGGGAGGGGTGAGCAGAGGGGCAGAAGAGACAGATAATTTCCAGCACACTCCATGCTGAGAGCAGAGCCCAACTTGCAGCTTGATCCCACAACTCTGAGATCATGACCTGCACCAAAACCAAGAGTCAGATGCTTAACCTACTGAGCCACCCAAGCACTGTTAATATTTTGATATAAATCCCTATATAGATTTACATCCAATACAATATATTTATACCCAATACATACAGGTATATTTATATCGTGTTTTTGCATTTTCTTTGTTTTTTTCTTGTCATCATTATTACTGTTTGTAACATTAAAAAGTCACTCTAATATCATTTAGCAAGTTGCCTTTTACTCCTGCAATGTTTAGGAAGAACTTTTTGCACATAGAAATTTACCCTATTATATTTCAGTTCATAGTTCTACTTTTTTCTTGCTGTGGTACACAGTCAAAATACCTGGGCTTGAATCACAGGTCTGCCACTTACAAGACATGAGATCTTGAGCAAATTACTTATTTTCTCTGTGCCTCATTTTAACCTCTGAAAAACTGCATTAATACTACACCTTCCTGGAGCGCCTGGGTGGCTCAGTCGGTTAAAGCAGCTGGCTCTTGATTTCAGCTCAGGTCGTGATCTCAGGGTCTTGGGATTGAGCCCTGTGTCTGGCTCCACCATCAGCCAGGAGTCTGCTTGAGGATTCTCTCTCTCCCTCTGCCCCTCCCCCTGCTTGCACGCACACACGCTCTCTCTCTCTCTCGCTCTCAAATAAATAAGTAAATCTTTTAAAAATATAATACACCTTCCTCATGAAATTGGTTGTAAGGATTAAATGAATTTTGAGTTTGGCACACTATTCATTTTTTAAAGCTATATCTATTTCTTTAAGATATATTTATTTTAGAGAGAGAGAGAACATGTGAGTGGGGGAAGGGCTGAGGGAGAGAGTCTTCCAGCAGACTCCCCGCTGAGTGCAGGACTGACCTGGGGCTCCAGGTGGGGCTCGATCTCACAACCCATGAGATCCTGACCTGAATGGAAACCAAGAGTCAGACCCTCGACCGACTGAGCCACCCAGGCACACCTAAAGCTATTTTTATTTTTATTTTATTTTATTTATTTTTTTAAAGATTTTATTTATTCATTTGAGACACAGAGATACAGAGAGAGAGCATGAGCAGGGAGAGAGGCAGAGGGAGAGGGAGAAGCAGGCTCCCCGCTGAACCAGGAGCCCGACGCGGGGCTCGATCCCAGGACCCTGGGATCATGACCCGAGCCGAAGGCAGACGCTTAACCATCTGAGCCACCCAGGCGCCCCTAAAGCTATTTTTAATACCACTATTAGTGAACAGGTATTATTTACCTAATATATTCCCCATCCTTCTGAAGAGTGCTACCCTCCTTCCCACTTTAAGGCCTGATCTGACCTTGACCACCAGGCATTAGCAATAGAATCCATACTCTGCTTCCTGATCCAAGTCCTTAAATGAGACCAATTTTTTACCCGAGACCTGAAGTTGCTTGTACCTGAAACCAAGAGTCCCAACTGATACAATTATTTGTCTAGTGCCAGTTCATTTTCTACCCACCACCAGTAGACACAATAAATGTAAAAAGCTGAGAATCGAACTCATCATTTTTACTATTGATTCTGATGAATGACTTGAAAGAAAAGAACTGGCAATTAGAGGTCACAATGAAGACTTCCATGGGCAGAATGCTTTTTTCTTAGATTATTTTTGATGTAAAAATAGCTCATTTATTTGGTGTGTTAGAGTTTACACATAATTTTTATAGTATTTGACCGATATATGGAACAAAAAAGTACACAAAGAGATTGCTACTTTACAAAGTTCACACAAGCAGACAAGTGGCAGATTCCCACATCTAATGTTCAGTATGCTCTTTCCAATTGCCAAACTTCGTAAATGACGAAGAAATGTTACTAGAATTCA